CCTTCTGGTTTCTGTGTTACACTTTTACATCGTATGTTACTATACGACCTAGATAGTTAAATTCATGCACCTGCTTGATTGTGATGTCTTCAGTCCGAAACTCACACCTTCTGCCCCCAGCCTTTGTTCCCGACAGAAAAGAAATAGTGCACTGATCCCTCTTCAGAAATTTGGTAACTCATGATGATAATTGGAAGCGTCAATAGTGGAACGGTTATCGATGCGAAAAGTGAAGAGTTCAATTCCCACTCTATTCAAGTTTCATTCACTTTGCGCTAACGCCCTTGGCAAAGGTAGAAATTCCACTCCCTCCAGCTATGGGGTGATTGAAAAATCTTACAATAGACACATTGAAGGCATTCCTGCTAGCTCATGCCTTAAAGAAATGTACTCACACCTTACGATCGGTTTTATCAATGTAAACTGTGTATGAACTTAGGCTGCCCCTTTTTTTTTTTTAACAAAAATAGTCAGTGAATGTACCATGATGCCATTTCTGACCATAGATCTCTGGTTGGAACCCGGATGGTAATGTGTATACAATTGAAACAAAGAAATAATAATAATAATATTAATAATAATTAGAGACCGCAAACAAAAAGTGCCTCTTTATTGATATGGAAATTTCTGCGGACTGCAATGTATCTTTGAAGATCTTGTTTTCACGAGTACAGCCGACACCTTATGAAAGGTTTTATCAATGTAAAATGTGTGAGATCTTAAACTGCCTTTTTTTTTTAACAAAAATAGTCAGTGAATGTACCATGATGCCATTTCTCACCATAGATCCCTGGTTTGAACCCGGAAGGAAATGTGTATAAAATAGAAACCCAAGGAAATAATAATAATAATAATAATGAGAAACCGCAAACAAAAATGTACCATCTTATTGATATGGCAGTTCCTGCGTACTGCAATGTATCTTTGAAGATCTTCAAAAAGCTATCAAAATACAAGGACCTTGAAATCGAAATTTCAAAATTGTGGCACATGGGAACATCAATAATCCCTGTTGTAGTTGGAGCCCTCGGATTGGTTGGAAAAGATTCCAGTAGGCTAGTTGAAGGGATTCCTGGAAATCCATGCCTTAATGAAATACAAAAAATTGTTCGCATGAGTACAGCCCACACCTTAGTAAGAGCTTTATCTATGTAAAATATGTCATGATGCCATTTCTAACCTTAGGTCTCTGGGCGGGACCAGGAACGAAATGTGTACACAGCAGAAATCAAAGGAAATAATAATAATAATGGAATTAACCCATTAATACACACGTTTTGCTTAATATCTTGACTTTTAGCCTGATATACATTGATGGCTAATGGTAAAGTTAGGGCTGACGGATTTTAAATTTGCGATAACCCCATATCTAAAATATTGAACGCGAAGAACTACTGTGTTAAATAGTTTCATCATCCTAGCTTAGTAGAAGTTAATGAAGCCAAATAATTTTTTAAAAATTTACTAGTTATTAAATCCAGAGGGTGACTCCAAACTTTTAGTCTAGAATAATGGTAATCGTAATATTAGCCGTTTCCCTACAAGGAAACATTTGGCATTTATTGACCAATGAGTCAGTTCTGCTTTCGGTTGCAATTTATAAAATATTTCTTTTAAAACTTTTTCAGGAAAATAAGTTTCTCAAATCCTGTAGCGGTTATCGTTCTTTCCAGCATTGATGGGAGTTTCCTTTCTAACCTTTTGTTTGAAGTCGTGTAGAATATCAGCATCTTCATTTTATCATTATTTCCTTTTTAGAGTTACATGTGCTATCCATTTTAGTTGTTGATGTAATTGAAAGTCCTCTAGTGATGTGTTTTCTGATATTTAGTACAGTTCTTTGTGAGCCATCCTGTAGAGTCAGTCCACGATGTTCAAAGACGAATTGTTTCAATAAAAACTGAAAGAATTTGGCATCATGCATGACATCTATATGAAATTCTCGATTCGACGAGGCTATTCAAGAACATGACGAGTTTTCAGGTTGATGTTCTGGTTTTGTAGCAATTTTCGGTTTGGGGCGAAACTTCCTCTATATTAATATTCTTTCTCTATATATCGTTTATATACTACATTCCATCACCACCGATCTGAACTATCAGTAGTCACGATGAATGGATGTCTCCTCGGGGAGACCAGGTCTCTTGAGAGATGACATCGCTGCCGCCGACTTCTCCTTCTTCTTCTTCTTCTTCTTCTTTTTCAATTTTCATCTTTCTTCATCTCCCCTCTTCTGTCTTCTTCCTTTTTCTCTCTCCTGCACCTTTTTTCTTTCTTCTCCCTTCTTCCTCCTTCTTCTTCTTTCGGAAAGAGTCGTTGGGGTACCGACAATTCTCCTCTATCTGTTACGTTCGTGTACCAAAGCCTGGGTCTCCGCAAATGTTTTCGTGGTGTGCTCATCATGGGCATTTTAATATGGCTGAGATCATCCCTCTCCTGGTTAGACCAATGTAGATGTCCTCCAATTATGAGCGACTATTGAGACTTACACTAGACATCAAGTGGAACACTTACATATGATACATCGATAAAGATGCAGAAAAAATGGTCGGTATCACTCCAGTCAGTACCCGACGCATCATGCTATCTTCTACCTTTATAAGAGCTAAATCAGGCCCCAAATGGAATACTGCTGTCATATTTGGGCGGGAACTGTCAAGTCCTCATTTTCGAGTATTGATATAGACCAAAAGCGTCTTGTGGATGGCAAATTATTGTCCACCCTCTCGCACACGGACAAGATGCCGCAAAATTTCACTGCTATATCACTAATTCCGTGGAAAGTACTGATATTCCACCAGTTCTATCTTTTATGGCTAGAATCCATCATGTCACTCTCAAGGTGACAAACACCCTCATTTCCTTTGTATTCTATTAATAGGAACTAAGTTCCGCTCGAGCAGCTTCACCCGGCGAACTACTGCTCTGTGGAACCGACATCCAAGAGAATGTTTTCTTGATCACTGCAACCTGAAATCTATTCTAGTCTAGGGTTAACCGTTATCTTACCCATTGTTGTGGAGTGGTTTCACAGTGGAGGCTTGTATTTGTACTAAGTCGGTCCTAAAATAGGTTCGACGTATAAAAACGTTAGGAACTTGATATAATAGGTAATGACGCAGTAATCTAGTTGTGGTCGCTGATACTTTAGTATCCGACTAACGGTCGTCCGGCATCGAGTGACTGAACGACCCACTGAGCGACTGACTCAGCGACTGCTCGTTACTATTACTATTCCTACTTATTATAGGTGGGAGAGTCTATTAAGTATAGAATAGGTGTGTTCCCATATAACACCCATCTATCCGCATACACCGCACCTCTTACTATGTACCCCTCTACCTTGAGTTGCCCCCTCACTGTAAAAAATAAATATGTAAATAATATAATACGAATAAAATGTTGAAGATGTGAAAATCCCTGCTCTGTTTAGATATCTTTTTCGTTTTAATTGTTTTGATAATGCAGAAAGAGAAGACCAAAATAATTACTATAAAAAGGAAGAAAACAGAGTCGAGATTGTTTTTCTTTTTTAATCGAGTTCACGGCAAGCAAAACAGTAAAGCCACGGAGACGCAAGTGGTTACTGGGCGTGGAAGAGTTAAAAACAAAAATATTATTGAGGAGCAAGTACAAGAAGAGCAACCAGGAGTGCAGCAGATAGCAATTCACATTGTATTTAATTTTTTTCCAGATTAAAGTTGGCTGGAAAGAATGCAACCGGAAGGGAGTTCCACAGGTGAGAAATGCGAGAAAAGAAATTGTTAGCATAGAATTTAAATTGGCGAGACCTCGTCACCAGTTAAGTACTGCGCTTAAATTCGAAGGGTTTAGGTACCATAGCGAAGAAGTAATCTGAACAATTACTATGAAAGTATTTATAGAAAAAGCAAAGGGAGGCAACCTGTCATACCTGACGTACCTATTCTATTATTAATAGACTCTCCCACACATAATAAGTAGTAGTAGTAGTAGCGGTCGCCAGTTGGACTCAGTGGTGTTGAGCGAGTCAGTCGATGTCGGACATTTAAGTACCAACCATCACAACGAGATTGCTGCGTCATTAACTCTTATTTCAAGTTCCTAACGTTTTGTACATCGAACCTAATTTAGGACGACTTATTGAAATACAAGCCTCCACTGTGAAAACTACTCTACAACACAACCTTACAGCAGTGTAAAAGTGACTGAAGCCGAGAGGCCAGATCGGGGCCCAAAATATTGCTGATTCTTCTTTGGGTTTTATCAAGGAGCTCTAGATAGATAGGAGGAGCACCGGACCATATTTGACGAATATTCTCAGCATGAACAAATAGTAAACTTATAAATAAGTAAGATGGACTCTGCAGAGAAAACTGTCTTTTTTATCATTTTTTTTTTGTAAAACCTATCGTATTTTAAATATATATTCTGGGATGTTGGCTTCCCCAATCTGTAGATGGAAGAAAACGTTTGTCATTAGAATAATCTAGAATCTTTTTTGGTTGTGTGCGTCTGTGCCGACTTATCTTGGCATGAATGTGTTTGTTGCTTAATTAAGAAGCATTATTTGATCACTTTGTACTGCAAGGAAGTAGAGTTGCCTCAGATAGCATTATATCTTGCTTTGACATAATTGTTGAAAGGTTTTGAGAATTGGCATTCATTGTAAATGATTTAAAGAAAAAAATCTTCTGCTATGGTCGATTCCAAATGCAATTTTCCCGTTGCTTGTGTTTTCGCCAACGTTGCAATCGTTTTTCCCAGATAATTTTTAGCCTTCCATTTATTGTTAGAAGCAAAGGAAAAAAATCAATTTGAATGTCAGCCGAATGCTGTGTGAAATCAATTGATTCGAATAAACCCTGGTTATTCGCTGCAAATTGTCTTTTTTAGTAACGGTATAACAGTAGTGGTAAAACTATGGACCGGATTCTGCGAGGACTAAGACAGAGAATTAAAGCTGTGAAAGAAATACTGCGAAAAGAAAAACAATTTTACAAGGTGGAAGAGAAAGAAAATTATACAAAAAGAATAAGAAGAAGGAAATTCAGAAATGGATGAAAGGAAAAAAAAAAGATAAACAGAAGAAAAAGAAGGAAAATATCAGGAAGAAGTGCTGGAAGAATGAATGAAAAAAGAAATGGAAAGTCAGAGAAAAACATAACAGGAAATAAAGAAAGAAAAGAGGAAGAGAAGAAAGAAGAAAAGAGAAATTGTAGGAATAAGTGTTTCAAGAATAAATCATTTAAAGGAAAAGTAAACGCATAAGCTGAAAGAGAACAAATAAAAAAATTAGGCAAGAGAGTAAAGAGAAAAGAATGAAAATAGATATAAAGAATGAAAGAGAGTTATTAGGAATAAGACATTCAAGAATGAATCATTTGAATGAAAAATTACGAATAAACAGAAAGAGAACGAATAAAAAAATGAAAGAAGGAGAAAACAGAATAAAGAATGAAAGAGAGTTATTAGGAATAAGACATGCAAGAATGAATCATTTAAAGGAAAAGTTACGAATAACCAGAAAGAGAACGAATGAAAAAATGAAAGAAAGAGAAAATAGAATAAAGAATAACAGAGAGTTATTAGGAATAAGACCTTGAAGAATGAATCATTTGAAAGAAAAGTTACGAATAAACGGAAAGAGAACGAATAAAAAAATGAAAGAAAGGGAAAACTGAATAAAGAATGAAAGAGAGTTATTAGGAAAAAAGATATTCAAGAATGAATCATTTAAAGGAAAAGTTACGAATAAAAGCAAAGAGAATGAATGAAAAAATGAAGGAAAGGGAAAATATAATAAAGAATGAAAGAGAGTTATTAGGAATAAGACCTTGAAGAATGAATCATTTGAAAGAAAAGTTACGAATAACCGGAAATATAACGAATAAAAAAATGAAGGAAAGGAAATATAGAATAAAGGGAGCTATTAAGAAAAAGATCTTGAAGAATTAATCATTTGAATATATTTGTTTACGACTAATCAACCATTTTAAAGTTATTTAAAGCCGCAACATATTTTGGATTGTAAGAATTTGTTTTAAGACAATAATGATTTTCTCATGTCGGTCTTACTATTTAATCCATAGCTGGGAGACTAAGTAATGGATTTATACCTTTCCCAATGGTGTTTGAAGAAAACGAAACCGACTGAATTCGACCTCGATACTGACCAGATTCAATGTTGGTTAACTTCGGTGATCGAACGAGAACTGGTATTTCAACGTGATACGACGTGTTCGGCGGAGGAGGGGCGTATTCAACATTTGATAATTTTGAGCCAATACACGCTTAAAGGTTTTAGGTAGTTTTGATCAACATTTCTTTTCATGGTTAGCCATAAGGAATTGTAAATGTAGGACTACCTTACACTTAAGTAAAATAATAACAATAATAATATTTATTAAAAATTTATTACAGGAAATGTCAAGTTTTACGAAAACAATGTTGACAATTATGTATTTAATACATGAGAAATAAAAAAATATAAATTTTGATGCTATATTCGATTAGTTGTTAAGTATTTTTCATTTTCTCCTTTGTTATTGGAAGCATTTTAGAATACTTTGACTGTAATGCCAAGTTTCGTAAGTTGAACAAACTAGAGCTATTTCGTTTACGCTTTGTTACCTTTCTTTTCCATTGTTGCTTTTAGATCGCTTTCTTCCTGACTGGAAGCAATAGCAAAATTCTGAAATTCAGAATGATCTTATTCCATTTCAAAAATAAAACCTGTAAAAAGCAATATTTAAAATTGATATACTACCAAAAATAAAATCCTTTTGACATAAAACTTATAATGATTTCACAAAAATTATGTAACAATAATGTAATGATATTCCGTAGACAGTTTATGTTACGTCCTCTCATTGCATGATTGTGAACTGTAAACCTAAATTAAGCTTGAAATATTGTGTAAACCGCCCTAATTTTTTTTGTAAAATACTTGGATATGATATAATGAATAATTTTCAGTGAAAAGTAATTTTCGATTTTTTGCCGAATTATAAAAATTTTTGTTTGTTTGTTTCTTTTTTTCTCACTCTCCTACCAACTCCTTGTGCCAGACACAAAATTTAGTTGGCAGAATAAACGATAGCTGCCGTTAGTAAGCGCGAGTTAAAAATACAAGACAAATCACTGCGTAAAATTTTAAAAACAGGAAAAAACATTTATTGTACAATTATTTTACAATAATCACAAAGGTACGCACAAGAACAAGAAAGGTTGCACAAAAATTTCCTTCTGTGCGCCTAACACGGCAGGATAACAATATTTTCCTGGGGTTTCTAAAAAGGAAATACCCACAGAAACAAGCTATGAAATTAGTTGTTTAGTCCAACTCCGGTTTTTGAAAATTTAGACCCTTCAAAAATACAAAAACACCAAAAAAAGGGATAAAGTTTTTAGACCCTTTACAAAAATACAAAAAAACGGACAAAGTTTTAGAGCCTTTACAAAAATACAAAAAAAGGGACAAAGTTTTTAGAGAAACCAACACGCAGAACGCACAAAGCATCCACCTCCTTTCTTTGAAGAATTTTCGTTGACAGCAGGCCGGATTGGTTTTGGAAAAGGTTGGTTCTCCTTTCTTTGAAGAATTTTCGTTGACAGCAGGCCGGATTGGTTTTGGTAGTTGGAGAAAGGCTGATTTATGGCCCACTTGCCGGTCAATGTAGAGAGAGGGTGTTAAGTGGTCTGCGAACTACGTGTCGTCTTAGCCTCGGTTCCCTTTCGTTATTTTTTGTTTTCTACTGATCGTTTCTTAATGTCCTCTCTTTTATTTGAAAAAGTCGGCTCCACTTGGGGCCATCCGGAATTTCTACGGGTCTCGAAAACTCAATTTTCATTGGCCAATATATGAAAAAAGGCCCTTCTAAAAATTTCACTTTTGGCGGCTATTCCCGATCCGAAAGGATCATAAATTTTACACAAGAAAATCAGAGTTTGGCAAACAATTTTGGCGGCAAATCTTAATCCAAAATGGTCATAAAAACCGCGCAGCTTTTTCCTTTTTACACACACCGTCCGGCTTACAAAAAATACACTTTTCTCAAAAGACGTGTAAAAAAAAAAAAAAAAAAAAACAACACCTAGACGGTCTTACATTTAATTTGACATTTTTTTTAATTCTTTCTTTAAATAAAATAAAATTTTTTATAGAATACGCTCCTCCTCTACGAAAAGCATCATATGACCGTAAGTCGAATCGTTCGAAAGAAATATTTCGAATAAACGGAAATAGAAAGAATAAAAAAATGAAAGAAAGTGAACGACAACAAAGAATGATTCGGATTTTTAAGAAGAAAAAATTATCCCATCAGTATTTAAGAGATTATGGTTATTCACAGGATCCATTTTTCTGTTATTTGTGAAATACCATTACTTCTTGTAAAAACATAATGGAATGTCTTCTTGTTGTCAGAGTTTTCCTCCTCTTAGACTGGTTGCCCCCCAACCAAGGCGAGAGCGTCCAGTTTATCCTGCTATTTAACCTATAACGAGGTGGGAGAGAGATGAATCCAGGCTTTTTTCAGGGTAATTAGTGCTAAAATGAACGCAACAGACAACTGACTATCGCTGATAACCGTTACGCAACCCGTATATAGAGATTAGGATACATTGGGAAAAATAGGTCTTCAATGCATGTTACAAAAACCAGTGAAATGCATTACGTAACCGCACATGAATACTTATTAACCACAAATAAGAACTCCTACAGAAGGTAGTGAAGAAAAGCGAGAAGAAGGAACTAAATATCAATTGTAGTAAAACGGAATGTATGGTCGTCAGCAAAAGGAACAGCTTCACATTCAAATTACCAATTGTAAATATCAAAAATCAAGTACAAAAATGTAAATATCAGTGAAGTGTTTTAACAGAGGAAGTAAAGTGCTACACCGAAATCCGAAGGCGTTTTGAGATGGTGAAAGATGCTTTTCAAAAAGCTAAGCAAAGTATTAAGAAACAGAAAATTTTCGTTAGAAACAAAGAAAGGAGTACTGAACTGTTATTCAATATCAGTCATCCTATATGACAGTGAACACTGCATAAACCGATCACAGGTGAATTTGATTGATTCGTTTTCCACGGCTTATCAACCCTTTACAGTCTATTTAAAACGAGGAAATACTTTTATACTGTAAGATGTTTTTTTGAGAAAATAATGGTTTAGTGATACGAGTTTTACTAATTAATTCTGAACTGGGAAGAAGGGTTGGATTCATAACTTTGCCAAGATTATTTACGCGGAAATGAATATAAAGAACCCGACTGGAATTAGAACTCGGATCTCCGATTGATAATCCCGAGCCATTATCCATTACAACAACGTCACAATCTAGCTTCCAGCACCTGCTAATCCCAAGCGGTAACCCATCTCGTTACTGATCAAGCTCGGCGTTGCTTAACTTCTGTAATTGTACGGGATACTGTTACAACGTGATGTGGTCGTAAGTTGAAGAAAGACTTAAAGCATCAGAAATGTGGTTCTACAGAAGGATGCTGAGAATACCATCGACCGATGTGAGCAACAACGAAGTTTTAAGCAAAAAAGAAACAAAAAGGTTACTCATATGTAACATATTGGAGCGAAAGTTAGAGAGGAAAACAACGCATAACCTACTCAACGCGTTTGTGTCAATGATTGGCAGAACACTGTTTACGAGAGATATAAAAAAAATACTAAGAGCTACAAAGGACAGGAAATTGTGGAGAGCCTTGAGCGTCAACCTCTTGAAGGGACACGGCACACAGAAGAAAAATGTAGTATGTATTTGTCTAAAAAATGTACGCCATATAGATTTCATCTTTACAAAAGGAGAAATTGGGAGAAACAAAATTAAACTATATTTATATGAAATATAAATTTCTGGAACATAATGCGTATTGAACAGGTGATATAAAGCAGAATGAAAAAGAATCTAACACTGTGGAATAGACTTCGTTAACAATGGTGGCCACCTGTTGCTTCCTATAAGGAGCCATTAATTTCAAACTACGACTGTAAGTCAAAAATTATCCGCACTTTCGCCATAACATATCTTTAGGTTTATCACACTACCTTCTGTACGCACGTATTTATAGCTAGTACTATTGTGGTCACATGATCGAAGTTTGATCGCACCATTTTTCTTGTTGCTGTTACAATGTAAACATGGCCGCTCCGATAGCGGTTTGCTCCAAGGAGGAATAAAGAGCTGTCATCCGAATCTGCAGAGAACATGCTACTTCATCGATGATAACTCACCATCTCTCGAGCTTGCTGAATCTTTTCGTCAGTGGTGGTGTTTGACAGGTGCCCTGCTCTTTCTTCCAGCGTCACGCTTGGCCGGCCACTTTTACATTTCTTGATCCACCCATACACAATTCTACGCGGAAGTGCACTCTTGCCGGATATTCTTAAAAGTCCCCGATGAATTTCAGTCTCTGACACCACCTTCCGACCAGAGAAATCGGATCAGTGCTCTTTGTTCCTCATTGGTGCACACTGCTAGTGGAGCGGCTATGTTTACACTGTAACTATGTCAAGTCAAGCTACAACTGCTACTGGTAATGTGTAAGTCAGTATTACCTGCTGTATGGTTCAGTCTTTGGTGACTAAACCGGTTCTAACATCAAGCTTTTTCTGGTGAGAATCATTCATTTATTCAACTTTTGACTTAGCAACTGTTTCTGGGTTATTTAAAAACGAAACATATTTTGGATTGTAAGAATAATTCTTTCTTTTGCGAGTGAATATTGCAATAACAATTTTTATTTATTTGTCATTATTATCAATTTTTCTTGAGATGACAATTATTTTTCTAATAATACTACTATTTAGCCCATAGCGGGGGAAGAGAATATGTATTCGTAGACACCCAGCAGGATTAAGACCTGTGAAAGGGCAGATTAACCTTCTTGTAAGGTCAACCGCTATCTGGC